TCAGGAGCCCAGAGGAGGGGTTAAAGGAGGTGACGGGGTGGGGGCAGAAAGAGGAGACGAAAGCAGACGACTGAACATTGCTAGAGAGCAGGAAATGAGGTGAAAGGAGACAAATTTAGAGAAGAAAATTTTTCGGTTGCTACCCGGATTCGAACCCGGGACCTTTTGAGTGAGAAGCCAACACCTTAACCTCTAGGCCACGAGAGCCCCCCTAGAGGTGTTACAAGAGAGTAACAAACATAAAAAAGAAGAAGGGGAGAAAAGGACGATAGATGTTTGACAGGAAAGAAGAAGCAAGCCACACCAGAGCACCTGCCAACCACAAACAGGAATGCGCTTTATTTTCAACGCATTAATCCCATAACGATGTGATAAAACGCATTTATTTTCTGTAAAACGCATCCGTAAGAAGGATTTATGATTCTTGAACCTACGGACCGAAAGGCGAAGTAGCGACCTGCCAACTAAATCACCTGTGATCTGATAAAACACATTTTTCTTCCCGAGATCGACCAAAAAAAGCGTATCATCAGATCACAGTTGAATACGGACGTCAATAAGAAACAAAAAAATAGTGTTTCGTCAGATCATGGCAGTTGTGAACAGTCATACCCAAGGGGAAAAAATGCGTTTTATGGGATCATCTCTGAAAAAAAAATGTGTTTCATCGGGACACATTGGAAATAAATGTGTACTAACAAATCTAAAAAGCTAATTTTTTTCAAAAACTAGTCACAGTTAGGCTTTCATATTGATATCTCAAGATGGCTTTCGACATGTAGAATTCATTAGTGGAATTTTTTTTATATGTACGTCAAAATGAAAAAATGCATTTTATCATATCACGGCAGAGTAAGCTAGAGGCCAGTGCGCACACACGTGACTCAACACCAATCGATTGGCTTCTGCTTTCTTCTCACTTGTTCTGTTGACGCCCGGATAATTATAACTATAACAGTTGCTGTTGCTTTTCACTGCTTCTTGGCCCAGGCTCAAAGGACACACTTACAGAGACATGGACCGCGGTTAAAAATTCCCAGCAAGGGTCGAAATTCCCAACAAGGGCCGGGTCGTCCGTGAACTTGGGTTGCTTGTTTTTGTTGGTTTGTTTGTTTGTTTGTTCGTCTGGGTGCTTTTTATATCGGCATTTTCTACTCACATAGACAAAATTTAGATGACTTAGTTTTAGTTTCAGTAAAGGTATTATGGCCCTCGCAACTGCATTAGGTCATATGAGCGAAGGAAGATAAGAGGCGCTACAAGAGAGTAACAAACATTTTAAAAAAGAAGGGGAGATAAGGACAATAGATGTTTGACAGGAAAGAAGAAGCAAACCACACCAGAGCACCCGCCACCCACCCACTAGTGTTCTAAGGTGTGTTGGGATAATAATGGTAGTAAAGTGCGAGGTGTGTTGGGGTAATAATGGTAGTAAAGTGCGAGGTGTGTTGGGATAATAATGGTAGTAAAGTGAGAGGTGTGTTGGGGTAATAATGGTAGTAAAGTGCGAGGTGTGTTGGGATAATAATGGTAGTAAAGTGCGTAGAGCATATTGCAGAGCGTGGATATGTAATATCGAAGGCGGTTATCATTATGGTTCTTTTTAAAATAGTTTCAGTAAAAAGTTTTAATGCACTTGCAACACATAGCCGTAGCAAACTCAAAGTATACATGTGAGGCAGTGTGGTGGAATCAGGCTCTCGTCAATTTTTGGGCCTGTAGAGTTATTGGTATCATCTTAAAGCTTGTTCACATGTCTTTCTTCGAATGGAAAAAATATCCATTTATCTTGAATACAAGTTGAGATATTTGCGAAAGAATTAAATGGGAGTCACCTGTTTTCAGAGGTAAAATAAGTGAGAAAATGGCCACCAAAGACTAGTTATTTCCTTAGCTTAAGAGTCCGTAGTAACTGAAAATTTACATTTTTTGTGCCTTTAATCAACGTTTCTGAGAAAAATCCACAAAGAAATGAGTTCTTTAATGGACATGAAAGGTGTTGAGATAAAAGACAAAAATTTGATAACAATTCACAAACCTGCGGAAAAATGCAAGTTTCTTCACTTTGATTATTTTGACGAGAGCCTGATTCCACCACGCTGTCTCACATATAATAATAATAATAATGATTTACCTGCAGAAAATTAACAAAGATGCGGCTTACCTGAAGACAAAGTGGTGGTCATTGTTGGCAATAGTGACGGTCACGTCGGGGATGCCCACGCCGCTCAGGTGAGACTCCACAGATGCTCTGAGGGGAGGGAAGGGGGAGGCGGGAGTTTGGTTTTAGTTTGTTTTGTTTTAGTAAGAGTTTTACGGCACTTGCAACACAATACAGTCATATAAGTGCTGAAGATTAGAGGTGTTACAAGAGAGTTAGTTATAGTAGAGGTTTTACGGAGCTCACAACTGCATAAGGTCACATAAGTGACGAAGATTAGATGTGTTACAAGAGAGTTAGTTATAGTAGAGGTTTTACGGCGCTCACAACTGCATAAGGTCACATAAGTGACGAAGATTAGATGTGCTACAAGAGAGTTAGTTATAGTAGAGGTTTTACGGCGCTCACAACTGCATAAGGTCACATAAGTGACGAAGATTAGATGTGCTACAAGAGAGTTAGTTATAGTAGAGGTTTTACGGCGCTCACAACTGCATAAGGTCACATAAGTGACGAAGATTAGATGTGTTACAAGAGAGTTAGTTATAGTAGAGGTTTTACGGCGCTCACAACTGCATAAGGTCACATAAGTGACGAAGATTAGATGTGTTACAAGAGAGCAACATACAAAGAAAAGGAGGACAAATAAGGACAATAGACGTTTGTTTGTTTTTTAAGTAGAGTTTTACGGCACTTTCAACACAATAAGGTCATATGAGCGCCAGAAGACTAGTGGTGTTACAAAAGAGTTTAGTTTTAGTAGAGGTTTTACGGCACTTGCAACACAATAAGGTTATATGAGCGCCAGAAGATTGGTGGTGTTACAAGAGAGTAACAAACATAAAAAAGCAGGAGAGAAGATAAAGATGATAGATGTTTGATAGTAAATAAGGAGCAAACAACACCAGAACACCCACCAACCCTATAATAATAATAATAA